TGGCTGAGAGAGAGCGCATGAGACACACACACACACACACACACACACACACACACACATACTCTGGGGTGTTTTCAGAGTGGCTCTCGCAGAGAGGTGGGGTAGAACAGCCGGGGAGCTGTGCGGATGGGTGAAGTGCATGTGTGCCTGCTTAGACGGGGCAGAAAAGCCAAACTTAAGAAATCTGCCTATGTACAGAACACAGCAACTGAAGGGGTTCTCATTAATCTGCCGTCTGTGAATTTCGTTATTTTTCAGGTTAGTTCTGAGTTTTGTTGCCTTTTAAAGGGAGAGGAGAGCAAACCACATGCTATTTTATGATAAAGCTTCAAAAGGGAGGGGATAAAAACTAAGTTATCAATGTTATGCCATTATTCTTGATGAAGAGATGCAGAATTTAGCTTAACTACTCATGGGGGGGTCTTTTTTTTTTTTTAACTAGAACTAGATTAAAACTGATGGCGCAGAGAAGAAAAAAGTTTTTTTGTTTTTGGTTTTTTTTTTTTTTTAGTTTAACAATTGAATCTTTCTTGGCGCTTAAAACATTTCAGTGAGTGCCATTCAAGTTTGGAGGATTTTTAAGCCTGACCTTTGACAAGCTTTGTATAAAATCTGCTGAGGGTGCTTTTAATAGCAGCCAGAAGAGAGATTCTCTTTGAAGTTTGAAAACTTTAGAAAAATAATAAGATATTGTAAAGCTACAGATGCAAAGTGAAGTAAAGACAGAGGAACTTAGGAAGAAGGAGACCTATTTCCAGGTTAAAAAAAAAAAAAATCTCTCAAGGCCTTAAAACAACCCAGTGAAAACAAGGTGGTAAATGAGGAGAAACTATGGTTCTTTGACCAAGTTAGTCCTGAAAACATGTTTCTGGGTGCTCCTGGGTGTTTTTCATTGGAGCATGTGAGTTTTAAATAGTAAGGAATTCAGGTAATTGCAGGAAGTTGTTTCCGTGGTGGTGGGGGGTCAGCATTGGCGAATGGGGAGCAAGTTCACAGTGTGGTTTTGAGGCCATTCGAGGAAGGGAGGAAGGGGAGTGCGTGTGTCCTGCGCTGGACCGGGATTGCATGTCAGACTTAAGGAGCATTGACTGGAGAGAGTTCATGAATGAAAGTGAGAGCCCGGGCAACTGCAGCCACCCCGCAGACATTTCTTAAAGGGGAGGGTGGTGTGCTTTTCCAGCGTATTCTGGTAGCAGATTGATTCTCTTGCTTTTAATTTCCATAACTGGTAGCTTCAGAAATGGCTTTGGAAGACAATTTGCTTTAAATGTGGCCACCCAATTCCAAAATGCCCTGGTTATTTTAGGAACCCTACCCTTTTCCTCCGGAGCTCTTTCGCGGGAGTTCTTCTTTTGGACGGGTCCAGGAGGTAGGGTCCTTCCTCCGTCGACTCCTGCAGAGGTCACGTTTTGTGTGCGGGGTCGTCCCCAGCGTGTGTGAGTAGCATATGCGTGTGGTTGTGCTGACTGCACTCCAGGCTTGTAAATTTTCACCCTGGGAAATTAGCAACAAAGCCCGATCTGTCTCGTGGCTGCTTTGCACTTTCCGAGGGCGGCTGTACTTGACTGAGCAGCAGAACAGGCACACGAGAGCGAGCGAGGGAGCCAGCGAGAGAGGGAGGGAGAGAAGGGAAGGAGAGCCGGGAGGGGTGGGGGCGAGAGGTAAATAGTCTTAAATCGGAAGGGAGCTGCTTCTCTGTGGTCTTGACAAGCGCTGCCTGGGCTCCGCCGGCTGAGTAATAACTGAGTGACCTTTTCTTTGCCTGTATTATGTCTGGCTGGGAAGGGATTGCATTTTGCAGCTGAGAGCCGGGGCTGCCTTCAGCTCGGCTCCTCTCACGCTGCTGGGGTAAGTTGTTTTGAGCCAGGACGGAGAGAGACAGCCTCGGATGGCAGTTGCCTAAAGGAGGACACCTGTGGCTCGGATGCGGTCAACACCATTACTTGGCGGATCCTTGAGGACCTCATTATTTTAAACTTAAAGAAAAAAAGAAATAGAGATTCCCTCCGCCGTCTTTTTTTTTTTTTTCAAACAATGCTTCTTTTTGACCTTTCCCAAGGAGAAGCGCTACAAAGCGGCCACCGTGCTCACTGAACGGCCTCCCCCTGTATCGTTTAATTGAGAAGGTAAGTGCGGCGACTGTGTACACACGCGTCGCCTTATTTGTGCTGTGTGTGTCTGCGGGTGCGCGCGTGCGTGTGCGGATGTGGGTATTTTTTTTCTTCCCCAGCCTCTCCTAATGAGGCATAAACTGGAGCTGCAACCCAGCTCCGCACTGCAACTTTCACTCCGGCTGCAGCTCTACGGAGACGGTTTTGTTTAAATCATGCGAGGCTTCATTATTTTTATGGTGAGACATGAAATAGATGCAGGCGGAAGATGTTGAAGGAAGGAGGGCGAGCGGCTACGGCGCGGAACGTCTCAAGTACGACTCGAGTGGATAATAGTCAAAGTTCAGCGTGAACCGCCGCATTTCCACACCCCTGACGCCCGGGGAGGGAGGGGCAGGGGAGTTTGGAATCAGGAAATGTTTACTCCCAGCCCCTGGGAAGGAGATTCAGTCCCGGGTGGGTTCGCGGACCCCCTCCCCCCTGACTTGCTGGAATTCGTGACACCCGCCCCCCTCAACCCAAGAAAAGAGTTGAAATTACAATCTTTAGGTCCAAGTGGACACTTCTGATTCTCCCTACGCGGCCATAATAATAGAATGTTGCTCATTTGCTGTGGAAAAGTGATTGTGTTTGCGGGGGGCGTGGAGGGGGGAAAAGTGGCCGGAGGAGAGAGGGTCCCTGGAACAAGGTGCCTGTGCCCTAATAGGTTGAGATTCGAACTGATGCAGCACATTTTTACGGGGGCTACCCAGATTGCTGTTATAAAATACAAGTCAGATTTATGATCTTTTTCATATTGAACATGATATGCTATGCTAACGCTGCATGTGACAGTTTAATCAAATCCATTTGTTACCAGGAAGCTAAAAGGGGCCGCTGGGATTTTAGGATTACGGGCAGAGTTAGGGAAGCATGTGGCTTTGTCATTCGCCATCATTTTACACACTGCCACACGGCGAGGGGCTCCGTGTGTGCCCGTGTCTTGTCTGGACGCCCTCATCCCTTCCCCCACCCCCTGCCGCCACTCAGACCCGCTCCCAAAGTGGCTTCACAATAGTCGGTCCTGGGCAGTGGAGGGCTGCGCACCAGGTCCAGACGTGAACCACATCAAGGAGACCCCCTTCCACTTGCACCTTTGGGCTTGGTGCTCAATGCGAAGCTGCTGCAACTCCAGCACGCCTAAGTCAACTCATGCAGAGAAAGGAGAAAAGTTTTGGTAAGGTTACAATCTATCACAGATGCACTTTGCCGGCGCTCAGCACTCTTGGCTGCTCGAAAGCCTTTCTTGCCCTTCCGCTGCTTTTGTGTCTTTCTAAAAGATCCGAAATATTATTGTTGTAACTGCTTTGAAAGACTGCTGCTTAAACCAATTAATCTTGCTAGGTGCAACAAATACTGCTACATTCTTTACAGACCATCCCTGTGTGGCTGCAAAGACACAACCACAAAAGGCTGGAGCATAAACTCCGCAAGGGATTCTTTGTTAGAGTGTATGTATGTTTCTTATTTTTTTTTTTTTTATTTTGCATGTGAGCTGCATCAAAATTGAACTCAGTCTTGCAAATCTCTTGTTGGCCTTTGCCAAGCACTAGCACTTTGCTGCCATGGTAACTGTAATTAAACTGATAAGAGTGGAAAAATGTCAGTATCTCTGAGCCTTGCAGCTGCATTGGAGAAAAAGGGAATCAAATTGGTTCCCAGCTCCATTGCTCAAAAAGGAGGGGTGGGGTGGAGGGCAGGGAGGAGGGTGGGAGTTGAAGGGGCAGAACAGAGTTAAGCAGCTCCAGTGCCTGAGATCTGGGGACATCTATTTGCATTGTTGTCCCTTAGGGGGCTGCAGCCTGTAGGGATGCTCTGGGCCAGTGAACAGAGAGAAACAAGCTTTTAGGGCCTATCCAGTTTTCCAATTCAGGTTGGGGGCTGGGGAGAGGATGAAGATGGGCATGAGGAGAGAAAAATCTTTTGTTTGGTACCTCTTGGCAATCGAATGGCCATGTTGGCCAAATTCTTTTAATCTGTGTCACTGCTCCCAGCTGCAGAACCTGCATTCCCATTTTAGCATCTTTCGGAGGCACTGCGTCTCTTCCAACCCCCTTTATGTATTCCCTCTTCCTGTTCCCTCTCCCAAATTGTTCTCTGTGAATTTTCCTACGGGGACAAAATGTTTTCCATTCACTCTGTGTAGTTAGTCCAAAAATATAAAAGACTGTGTCTAAGTGCTGCAGATCTTTTATTATTATTATTATTTTTTTAAACGCCTGTGTGTTGTGGAGTTGTGGTTACTTTGTTGTGTTAACTACTGAAGCTGAGACTGTGCGGATGAATGGCACAGAACAAGGGAACATAATGGAGGCAATCAACCGTTAGGCTGCCTCACAATGCAATCCAGGCAATTAAAAGCTCACCAGAGTTTAAATGAAATGGTTCTACTTATTTCTGCACACCACACTGCACAGGCTATTATTTATGTCTTTTTTTTAATTATGATTTCCCTTAAACTGTCAAATAACTCAGAATGGCAGGGTCTCAGAGGCAATAAGAATTTCCCTCAGAACAATTTACATGCCAATCTAAAACTAGTTATGAGTTCTGATGGGCTATGAGCAACTTGTGAAATGTTTCTCAGCTCCAAACACATAACTCTACCCAGACGTGTTCTTCTAGAGGAAGACGGGAGGCCACTGACTGCTTCATGCCTCTTAGGTTCATGGCAATGTGGTGACTACAATATAGTTCTTTTTGTGCAATTGCTAACTTGCACAGAATTTAAAAGATTCCATTTTCAAGAGAAATGCCACTATGTTCTCTAAAAGAAGGTACCACCGGGACGGAGTGCATAATATCAAACTCCTTTTTTGCCCAAGGCCAAACAGAATGTTAGAGTTTCAAATATTAATTGGCCTCTGAGTGCTAAATTAAAATGTCACCACAACAAAAACATTTTGTGAGGACAAGCAGGGTAGTGTTACTTGTGCCAAATGTGGGTATCCCCTGTCTTGGTTGCAAAGCATTTTGAATAAAGATAGTGAGTGACCTTCTACACTTGAGGGTAGAAACACCACCTATGAGAAATACAGCTTAGCTTCTGCTAAGAAGGATTTTTTTAATTCATCCTTGAGCTTTGTGATTTAAAAAATAACAATCTCATAAATGAGAGAATTAGAATGGCTACACTGAATCTATCTCTGGATGTTTTCAATAATGAAACCCAGAATTTCATTTAGTAAATCAAAATTCCCTCCTCCCCCCCTCAGGTATATGCTTAAGAGACACTTGGGTCTGTTCTGCGCTGTAATTAATGGGATTCATTCCTTATGGAACCTTGCTAGAAGAGGATAACTAGTTCTGATCAAAGAAACTTCATTTGTTAGAAGTTCTAGAGAGTGAGATTTAGCAGAGCTATCAAGGGTTATGATTAATCTACACTAGGCCCTTAGCTCCTTCAAAGGAAGGGAACGGAAAGCAGGCTATAGGCGTACCACCTGCTCTTCTGTGCAAATCCAGCTGCTGGTCCCGCAACTCCGGTGACTGCGGCTGTGCATGGGAGACAGAAACAACAGCTGCCCTGCCATTCCCTACTCCACTATTCTACCAGACAAGTTATTTTCTAGTGAAAGTTCAAAATTATAACAATTTGATGTGCAGGCAATGTATTTTCCATCACTAGAAAAGTTAGTCAGCTGTGGGGATGTCTTGAGGCCTCTTATCAGTGCAACTTAAAAAAATTAGGTTGCAAAGGTTCTGAGGGAAGTGAAGCCTTCATCATAAGGTATCAGTGGAAACTGGAGAAGGTTCTGCTGTTTTGGAGAAGGGGCATTCACAGAAAATGCAGATTATGGCTTGGCATTTCTTTTCTTGAAACTCTTTCAAAAGCATGCAGAGTTGGTGTTTTGTATTCTTCTACATCCCAGTTTAAAACTTTGTGCCTAGGAGAGGAAGTCTCAGGATAGCTCAGGGATCACTGCATTGGAAGAAGGGCTGCAGTGGTTCAGCTTGGAGTGAGTCTCTTAACCTCTCTTGGGCCTCTGTAACATAATTTGTAAAATGAGGGAATTTGGAATTGATGATGTCTGCAGTATTTTATAATGCTTAAAATGAGTTATTTGAGAAATATGAGGCTTTGAATAGTTGGCCCAGATTCTTTTTGAGGTTTGGTGTTTAATACCTAGGAAATCAGAAGAAACTCAAAGGCGGAATATCCATTCATGGAAAATATTTCATTCAAGTTGTAAAACCTATAGAACCCGGCTAGATTCCTTATTTATGATGGTGATAGATCTTTAAAATATGTAAATGTCCCTATGTTTCACGTAGGATGTATAACATATGTAGGTAATATATTATGTGTGTTTGTATAATTTTCTATATATTTGGAGGTTGCCGTCTGTAGTTTCTTCTTTCCTGTGTAAAAAAAATAAGTGAATGTTTATGGTGATAAATGGAATAATCCTATACATTCTTTCTGGAGGGAAGCATGTGATATATAGTTAAGTAATCTGCCATAAATATAGGCATTGACTGATGCTTGTGAGTAGAAATTTTTATTTTAACGTAATAAATGCTTTGAAATGTCAAGGACACAGAAGGAAGTAATTGGATGGAAATGAGAAAACAGGATAGATAAGCTTTTGGGGAGGCCACATGTGCACTTAACCACAGACATCTCTACTGCAGAGGAAGGTGTCAAACCATACTGGGTGCCATCACCTTCCGCCATGAAGTACATATTACGTGAAATTTTTAACTAGTTAAGCAAAGCTCATTTCCGACTTTTATAGACAGTGCATTGATTAGTTTGTTGGATATCTTTCTTTTCAAGGCTGGTAGGCATTCACTCACCTCTTCCTCCAAAAAGAACTGCTCTATGTGGAAAATGAGCACCCATGAAGTGATCCAGTGATATTCAGCTCCATATATAGAATGTCAACTTATCATGTCCAGCAGGATTTCTATATCATTATTACCACTTAGATGTGTGTCTTTACAAACGAGTGCATGATGACTTTCTAAAGTTGAAGACTTTTTGCTCTCCAAATTTCGTTTTAGGTACAGGAAATCTAACACTTCTTCTCAGAAGAAGGCAATATTAAATATTGAACTCCTGGGAGCTCTTTTGACATCTTTTTGTTCTGCCTGGTAGTCTCAGCTCTCTTTTTTGTTTTTCTCTTCCTTTAGGTATACAAATGCTCTCAGTCCAGCCAGACACCAAGCCGAAAGGTTGTGCTGGCTGCAACCGAAAGATCAAGGACCGGTATCTTCTAAAGGCACTGGACAAATACTGGCATGAAGACTGCCTGAAGTGTGCCTGCTGTGACTGTCGCTTGGGAGAGGTGGGCTCCACCCTGTACACTAAAGCTAATCTTATCCTTTGTCGCAGAGACTATCTGAGGTAGGAATTATCCTTGCACACCAGTGATGACTGGATGCCTTTTAAAGTACTTTTGTAAGTGTATTTTTTTGTTTGTTTGTTTGTTTGTTTGATTTCCTTACTACCAGCTTATATTCCTGAAAGATGTTGGCCTGTCAGCCTACAAAACGTTGCCTAGTGTGTGTTAACCAAAATAACTTCTTAAGGAACAGCTAGGGAACTGCAGTATCTAAAGTGTTTCAATCTAGCTTGCTTGCCTACTCCTTTTTAAGCATCAGTCCACTGCTTGTATTGAAACTGCCATTTAGTTGTCCAGGATGTATTTGGTAGAAATCAGCATACAAATTTTTCCTTAGAGCCTAAGAAAGGTAGGCTTAGCATAACACAAAGAAATGGCTCAGTTGTTTGGTGAAACACCTTCACTATTTATTTTTGAAAAGTCTGAAATGAAAAGTACCCTGTAAAATAGCTTAACTATTCTCTGTGGAACTTGAATTTATTCCTTTGAAGTTATTCGGCTCTTCTTTCTGTTTCAGGTTGGTCAAGGTCAGGTGCAAATTCTCAACTGATAATTGCTAGTGTATTTATTGTACAGTTTTGAAAACTTCCCCCAAGAGGAGATATGTCTTCCCCCTCAGCCATGGCTTTCTAAATGGTCATCACAGAGACATCACTGGGCATTGAACAGCCTCAGACTGGCCAGTAGTTTTATGAATAAAAACAAAGACCTCGATCACGGTGGGGGAAATGAAAGCCAGGCCCCGAACTGTAAACACCTGAACAGTGTCAGGACCATGCAGGTTAGGAAGCCGTGAAGTCAACTAAAAACGTGCTTCCCAGCATGAAGTACGCAGCATAGAACTTCTGTTGAGGAAAAATTATTTTGCTTTTTCAGGCAACTTTGTGACTTGCTTCAGCTGCAAATTACTTACATTAATAAAGTAGGATCTATCAAATTAGGGCAATGATATATGGCATCATTTGGGGTTTCATATTTAATACAATTAATCATTTTTCTCCTCTGACATTAAGCGATTTATTTGGAACTTTTCCCCTTATGACACAAAATTTATCAATCGGCAGTAACTCCTTAACCATCTTGGTCATTCGGGGAGGTGTTATCTAAGGAATTGGGTCCTTCTCGGTATATAATTCAGTTATTTCCAGTCAGCTTCAATCTTGACATAGTTCAATGTACTGTTTGATTAATGGTCGTTACAAGAGGGTGAAACTAGCACTGATTATCAGATTCGGCTCTTTCCCACTCCTAGGACTGCCTCATCTGACAGCTGCCTGACTAATTATGACCGCTTGTTATTATTTCTCTGTGTTTCGAGTGCACAAAATGCATCAAGGTGCCAACAGTGAGAAGGAACTCTCCCCCAGCCAGAACTTCCCTCACTGCGCTGGCACCATTATTTAGAATGAACATAGAATGTGATTTCTTTTAGAACACTCCCGTCTTTGAACTTGTTCTCTTTGAAATAAAAATGTCTCCTCTGCTCATTGTGAATTAGAGCCTCATTTCCACATGAAGCATTTGTGTTTGGTCTTAGTGATTTAACATTGCTTTCTAGTTTGGCTTCATCTGTGCTGAGAGTCACAGCTTTGTGACTCCTCTTGACTTTTCCAGTTGTTTACAATTTCCGGATCTCACGTTCCATTTTCATACAAGGACTTTCTGCAGTCCAGGGGTCTTCATAACCAAAAGGGACAAAATACAGCAACTTCAAAGAAAGTTGCTGGAAATATCTGGATTCTTTTCAATCAAAAATATAAATTTGCCAGTGAAATACCTGTGTTAGGAATGAAACTGCTCCGCAGTTGTCGGCGTAGCAGGAAGCAGAAGTAACATTAGATTTGTTTTAGTTTTCCACATGGTAGGAAAGAATATGGTGTTAAACCAAGTTGCTCACCAAGTTGCAAGTAAGTGTCTTGTTGAAGAGAATTTACCAAAATAGTTTTCTTATCAGAAACCTTTATACCTGTAAAGGAGGACATAGGGCTTTTTGTGGAATAACTGAGGTCATTTCTGAAAGGCTCAAACTTTGAATGCTAGTTGACTTATTAAAAAATATTGTGTACTCTTTCAAATATAAACCCTGATCCTGATTGCCAAGATACTCATTTCTTAGAGTACAATTTCCTCTTCAATCGGTCATTACCGCCTTAATGGCCAGTTGTAATATTAACAGCCTGAAGGTTGTTAACATTTCAAACTCAGTTGTTAACAGCAAGCTTATCCCTTATTTAAACTGAACATTTGTTGTCTATAACGTGATTTCTTTGGTAACTTTATCAACACTTAAAATTGCCGACGTGAAATGGAGAATTGGTCTGTATGTAAAACACTGCGTTATGTGGGAAGACTCAGCTGCAGATGTGGTATTTAGTTTTATGTAGAAAGCATGTGTCTCAGTGAAATTGGGTACGAGTTGAACAACGTATGTCTCTGATTGGCAAATTAAAATAATGTGATTCTGTATGTGAAATCAACCAACACAGTCGAGCAGATTTTATTTACAAATTAATTTTTTGGATTATGTCTAAGTAGTCATTCTGGAATGTTTATGAAATGCTTACTGCGTGAGAGATATAATTTTAGGTGATGGGTGAAATCAAGGGAAAAAGTGAGGTACACCTAAAATGGTCACTGATTATTTATTTCATTACCTACAATCTGGAATGTGATCAGTGAGTATTCTGTGGCTATTTTCGCAGAATGAAAATAACTTCTCATTTGCCTTGTAGGTCAGCCTCTATCCTTTTTGGTATTTTGTACAACCCATGTTTAACTCTTTTATTTTGGCCTTTAGATATCATGTCATTTCCTTCAGGCACCAAACAGGCCATCAATAACTTACAGATTTGTATTTCTTTGTCTAGGCATTTAAGAATATGAAAGATGATAAAGGAAAAAGTAATTTACTTGGACTAATAAATTACTGGATATAGGTAGTTTTTCCTAGGTAGAGAAAAGTAACACGTTTTTACCAGTGTAGCTAACTTCCTGGTAAACTTGTTCCTCTAAAAAAGAAAAAAAGAATACTTTTAATTATGAGCAATGAGACTTGAAGGTCTGTCTGTGCTTTATTCATGGTACTTTGAGTAGTCATAATGATGACATGTTTTTACAAGTTCTTTGAGGGATTAAATAATATGAAAATGTAAGAATTTATATCTTAAGATTTTCAAGGGTTATAGAAACTGCTATTACAGGAAATTTTATTTTGTTCATTTCTTTCCTCCTTGGTGATAGATTTAGCTATATTTAAGAAAAGAAAAAAATATATGCTTTACTTTGTGCACTGAGGTTCACATCTTAACAACAGAATTGGGTACTTTCTATCACTGGACCCCTGTCATGTTTCATGTTGCTGTGGTATGTAAATCCCACATATTTGATGAGACAGAATTTCCCCATTTACAGGATTGTGTCCTCCTTTGGAAATTCATTAGATAAAGGAAGAGGAGGATTAACTTTTTAAAACCTTCTCGAACATACTTTCTGACTGAAACTATGAAGTCAATCTGCCAGTCCATATTGGCATGCCAAGATCTAGAAATATCTGTCCAAAAAAGGTATTAAAAGCATTTTAATCATTTTTCTTTTCTAAAGGTGAGTTTATGACAGTTTAGACATGGAACCATCTTTGTCCCTTAACTTCGAGCTTAAAATTAATATTCTCTAAAGTAGTTTAAAAATCATTATAAAAATGATAGCAAAGTTTTAATAATGATGTTTAAGAGACTCTTAACCACTATCTATCCGCCTTATTTCAGTTTGGAAAATATGAGTAAAATAGTCAGTGTGTAATTAGATTTTCAGAATTAGGAGTTTGGGGCAGGGACATAGAACAAGGAGAATTATCAAAATACGTCACTTTTCAACTGGAGGGCAATAAAGAACATCTGAACTTCCCACACAAAGTTTTGAGCATTTTTTGCTTGTTTTTTGGTTAAGCCTGCAACTTCTTGTGGTATGTTTTAAGCATTAAGTGGATACAGGCTATATCTCATATCTCTATGAACGATATCATGCCAGCGAGTTTATTCAAAGCTGTTTGCTGTGGTATGTGCTGTGGAAGCTGCTTATAGCTGTTCCTATATAAGACGCTGTAAAATGTCTTATATAAAATTTAATGCAATTTGCTATTTTTATATGTGAGGATGATTTGTTTAAAATGGAACGACTGGGATAGAGTGATCCTTCATGCTTCACCATGGTTGCCAATTAACTAAAATGATTTGAGGCTTGCTATGCTGACTGCAAATTTTATATGCTTTAATATAATGATATAATAACTCTAATAGCAAGAATTAAAATAAAATACTACACAGAGTATAAATCTAGCTATAACGTTCTTTTGCCCTGATTAAATCTGGTGCTCCTAAATTTTTATATAAGGTTAAATTTATATTGGCACGTAATTATGACTTTAAAAATAAATATGAACATGTTGTTAATATTATCTGGCAATTCACAGCACAGATTCTTTTTTAATGCTGTATTAAGTATTCATTCTTTTTTCTTTCATTGCCGTGATCCTAACATTAGGCATTTGGAAATATTTTCCTTGTCAAGCAGCAAATTATTTGAAACATCACTTTCTATTGTTTTAAGTTCTGAAAACTTAAGCTTTTATATGGATTATAACTCCATACAAATAAACTTTTTATCTAGAAGCTTCCTTTGAGCTTTTTAGACACGTTACAGTCATAAATGTTATCATAGTGAAAAGTCTAAGTTAATCTTAGTATTGTGAAATATTTTGACGTATCAGCGTATTGAATTGCATGGTCTATTAAAAAATGCTCTGTTATATTCTTATGAATTATCTTACCTTATTTATAGCTTTATTAAAACTTGCAATTTTAAGTCCATTTTCCTCGTCATTGTCGGAAAGCATTATTGAATTCTGTTTCAGACATTTCAGGCTATGTAATACTCATAATCAGTACAATTCAGGAGTGATCATTGTGTTTTGTACAGTACTTTGAGACTGTGCTTCTCATTCTGA